ACTCCAACCGATGGAACTGAACAAGCGGTTAGTCAACTCGTTATCAATGGAGCTCGTCCAGATTTCAAAGGAGATGTATGACTTCATGAGAGAAACATACACAACGACTGCTATCTCCATAGCCAGACAAATGATGAAAAAGTATTGACAAAAGCAGAGACCCTACTAACTAGCCTAGATCTAGAGTGATTTTGTTCTTCTTCCGCGACAATTCCTCTGGAAAGCGCACCGAAAACGAAACATTACAAAAGACATGATTTCTCTGGTCAAGGACGTGTACGATGTCTCCACGACAACAGTACGCACTTCACAAGGCTTGACCGAAGCAGTAGTCACGGTTAGAGCACACTAGGGACCGGCTTTAAGCCCGTTAATGTTCCTACTATCACTTGGTGTAATCACAAGCGGGCTTTTCAAGAACCACGACTATCATCCACACTGTTGGTGTTGGTCCATTCAGAAGTGATAGTGTTGAGCAAAGAAGAACTTTAGGATAAGCTGCAAAAATGGCAGAAAGTGCCAACGGAGTATAGCCTTATCCTGTGGAGACGAAGTTCTTCATCTTCGAGGAGTGTACGGCGTTAATCGTAGACGGTTACGGGGAGGACATCAAAGGGGTATAGGAATTCCGATAACTGGAGAGTGATCTAGCTGCTAACGGTAGCGTAGACCAGGCTGTAAAAGCCCGAATAAACGCGGCTTGGATAAAGTGGAGGAAGTCAGTTGGTATCCGTCGCGGTCGATGGTGCTCCAGCACGCTCAAAAGAAAGGTGTAAAGGACAGAGATGAGGCCTTTGATGATCTACTGCAACGAGTGCTGGTCCGCAAGTAGAAATCATCAGAGACAGCCACACTTTGCAGAAATGGGGATGCTAAGATGGGCTTGCGGTTGGCCGCAATTGACCGAATTTTGAAAGAAGATGTCAGAACGGTCATGCAAACAACCCCTATTCATTTGGAGATGAGAGCAGCTTCCATGATGGTCCGGACACGTACTTAGAACACCACCAAACTATCCGATAAGGGAGGCAATAGAGTTCAAGGCTCAAGTGAAGCGACCACGACGAACCCCAAAGAAGAGTTGGGTGGACGAGATCTAGATGGATCTCGCCGAAGCTAAAGTAACGATAGATAATGCTATATATAGAAGGAACTGGAGACAAATAACAAGATCGGCGGACACTATTACGCCGCGGGGATTACGCTAGGGAGAAGAAGAAGAAGTTATTGTTGATATCATCAATCAGTCCCATATGCTCTCGAACACGAAGGTAGAGTGGGAACTGCTTGCGATCACGACTGGCGCTGGTTGCTCATGTGACATCAAGCTTTAAAAAGAACTGCCCGGGAATTCGCTGCGAAATGCATTATGAGGGCCCTGAAATAAACTATTGCTAACATTTTGAGAACATTGAACCTGAAGTTCCTAAGAAAATGGAGCCAGCTCAGTGGTCGAAAGCATGTCCGTCGAACTTCTTTTCTATGGAAATGGTGTGCCCTCACTTATTATTTCTATTCAGAATTGTAGTGACGTTTGAATGAGTACATATACAGGGTGCGCCATAAATATGGTAACAACTTTTCGAACGTTCGTATTTTTCTTGTTTGAAGGGTTTCTCCAAATCTGCACCTCTCCTTATATTTATGATATATCTTAGACTATATATTTATTTTGGTGCTCTCAATTCGTTAGATTTTGAAAAACGGTGGAGCTTCGTATACTGCACCAGCCGTTCCGTCTTTGCGCGCATTTGGTGAGTCCCTTTCCGGAATCGCTCCTCGTTTCAATAGTTCCCACACTGACAGTCCTTCGAATTGCGAAGCGTAGACAGCTCAGTGGCAAACCTCAAGACGGACGTCCTGCCTCACAGTAACCCTTTTTCCGAATAGAATTGCTCGGGAAGGAGTACGCTGCAAAACCAGCAGAAATGCGAGAAATATGACTGCTGATTTGTTTGTATGTTCTACTCCGATGAGAAAAGTCTACCGCGAGTGAGTACAATTGTATCCAGATAAGATTTGAAAGCCCTATTAGCTTTTTGACGAGAAGAACTTAGAGAGGAAAAACAAATGCCGTACGCTACTTGCGCGCGGCACGCGCTTCGACAAACTTTTTTTTGATTAAAGTGTGTTCAGCGTGAGAGAAATGTTGAGATCTCATAGTATACACATATTACACAATTCGAGTGCTGTAGCCACTGAGATGAGTTAGATCGCCTCTCATAGCCCTTTTACCTCTTTGATGATAGTCTTTGCTAGAATCTCTACCATCAGAGCGATATCTCAAATTTTGGTCGAAAAAAGTACTAAATTTCCTCCAAAACTCTTTAAGAAGGATCTTTTTGAAAGGTTGCAGCTGGGAGTCAAAAATGTTTCTAAGGATATAATTGAAAGCTGTGGCGCACTTGCTCACGAATGGGAAAATGGGAAGATGGGTGCCGAGGGAATGTTCGCGATTTTGTCCCTGCTTCCAATCCTCCTACGAATTTCCCGGACCACAGCGTGATGAGTAGCTGGATATAGTCCATACTGGAGAGGAAAGCCTGCGCTTCAAAACGCACCATTGTTGCTGTTCTTGATAAATCAATGAAAAGAGTACGGGCTAGTGTTTCTCAAGAAACTCTGTGTGCCACCGTCGATGAGCAGCCGAAGCGTCTTCGAGCTATAATTAGTACAGAAGACGGTTATATAAGATGACCGTGTGTTTGTTTTGTAGATGTGATGCATAGTAAATAACCCACATGAATTCACCATGTATCGAAATGAGCTGCGCTTTTTGTAGCGCAATTCTTTTGTTACCATATTTATGGCGCACCCTGTACATATAGCTTGTATAAAAGCTTGTAGGAGTAAGTCGCTATTCAAATAGAAGCTTGTATTCTACTGAGCGAGTGTAAAAGTGGTCAAAGTCAAGAGCGTCGGAGTCAGGGTGGTCGGAATCGAGAGCGTTGGTTTTCTTGGTCGGCCTAGACATGTATCCCTCCGAGATTTGATCACCGAACCATGCCTGTGATAATGCGCTGCTCGCCACCCAAGCATGATACACGTAGAATAGATCTTGGCTTCGAGATGAGTAGGTAGGATGGGCAGGTGGATTGGTAAATAAGCTGGTCTCATGCATGAAACACGCGTCTCAGGCACTCCTATAATGCTAACAGCCATAATGGCAGTGAGTGAAACATTTCAAAAGACATGTTACCGGGCCATCTATCGTTCAGTATTATTCATTTGGATTCTCCATTATATGTTTGTAGAATCATTTATTTGAAATTAGTACATTTATTTGCGTTTATTGGGGGCCAACTTTCTGAAGCATTCTGAAAACCGCTAAGTAAGAAACGCAGTGATGCGTTCAAAATTCACTCTGGGCACGCATCGCAGTTCGTATACCACTCATACGGGAATCGTATTCAAATGTAATTCGGAATCAAGGTCGCCTCCGTCACCTAATCGCTAGCGGCGAGTAGCTGACAGCGTTCTCGGCATTCCACCAGCACTCTCAGTCCAATTTTCAGCTTTTTCATCTTCCCTTGTGTTTCCCAAATATGAATTCCCTGGAATTTCACAACTACCCATGAAAGGGATTCTCGATTTTTCTCGAGTAAACTCGTAATGATGAAACTTGTAAAACAGGACAGATCCTTTCTGAAGTCCCTGGGACCTCCGGCATAAACACGACTCTTTCACTCACAATCAGTTTCGTGCTGCATCATCTTTGAACAGAAGAAATCAATCCCATGATCAGAAACTATTAGTGTTTGCTATTGGAGGTTGTTCACGTCAACGCAAAATATGTTGTTCAGCAGAGACATTCTCTCCCTACTTGTTTATGGATTTTTATCACCTTTCCAAAGATTCTACCCTATGGAAAAAGCCATATTTCGCTCCTCGGTGACTGGTTACTTAAAGTTCGCCTTTTACGGGTCCCTGAGCGAAGGCAGAATAAGTAGAGCGTACCAAAATATGTTGCCAATGGATGACCCCTTCGTGTTGCGCTAGGGAACACCAAGATCACACTGTTGGGTAAAGTTTGATATTTATTCACGCATCCCATTATTTGTTCGCTCATTTACTTTTTTTTTGTTGTTTTCGTTAATGTAGCGAGGTTATTTTTAAAGGCACAGTTCACGATAAAAATCATTTCTGAGATTTCCCTCATTTCTGAGGTTCCTCCTTATGCCATACCGACCATTATAAGGTTGAAAAAGGTGATGGATATGGCACAATAAGGGGCCAGAGATTGTATCGTGTGCATTTCACACCCAACGTGGACGCGTTTCAACGGCTTTGTAGAGGCTCCACTATCTCAACTCTTATGTAGGAAGTTCAAACAACCTGTGATAACCCATGGCGACAGTGAAAGGCAGTTTTGGGCAATTTCGACTTGAAGTAGTCATATCTTCGAGCGGCGGGAGCAAGTAAATCTCGTTCAAATGCCCCTTAAATACCATTACCGTCACGGTGATCTCGTGCAGCCTCCACTTCCACTACTTTTGAAAAGTCTTGGAGTAGGCGGATTTTCTCGCTTTCTTCGCCACCGATATACTCCACTACATCAACACTTCCGCTTTTCTACCTAAAAAGGGTACCACAAAATTATCGTGAACAGTGCCTTAAGTGTTGGGTGATGCTCTATCATAACCTAAAACTAAGTTCTGTATCGATATCTTCTCAGGGTGAGAAGGCTCATCACCCCCTGTAGAGCCTTTTGATTTGTATCAAACTGATCTGGGAATGACAGACGGGCTTATATACCAGCATATTGTTGTATAGGCCACATATTCATTCGAACGCCACTACAATTCTGAGGGGGATAATGCCCACTCAGAATCGTAGTGACATCGAACAGGCAGAAAGGCAGGGCTCACAGAGCTGGATTGTCAAAAGCACTCGACCAACGCTGAATGTACTTGCAATCAATTGGTTCTTTGCGTATGAGTTGACCTTCCGTCTTCTTATCCGTCGAAGGTGAAAAAATAATAGAAACTGAAATTTTTTAGAACCAGACATGACCGAGGGTTTGAAACGCTTAGATGACTACGTGGTGATGGGCCGCTATGTGGTGTACATCTGCATCCTGGCCGAACTGATGATTCTGCCTCAGGTCTCGTCTATGTTCTACATGATGTATGCAGGTATATGCTCTTTCTTCTAAAATTCGATAGTCCTTAAATTTTATGTAGCTGTACGAGGAGTACAAGCAGATAACAAGGCATTAAGAGCTTGATATTTTCTTTCATTTTTTTCTGCTTTTTCATTTTGTCTCTTCGTTTTCAGCTAGCTTATCCTATGAAATCTTCACTGATCTTAAACCTAAACAGGAAACTTGGTCTTAAAACGAGCTCATTTGAATATCTGATTCTAGCCTTCTGCAAAACTATTTTGAATATTTGTCTGCTTCATTTCCTCATACTAACGTTACTTCAGTAACTAGGTGTACTCGAAGCCGTTTCACCTTGGAATTGATGTGTTGTAGCTCTCAAATATATCCACTCGAAAAAGTTACCCGTGAAACCTATCTTTGGAATATAGAAAGCAATTTGGTCAAGTGGAGTGACCCAAAAGTGATGACTTGACCTCTTTTTATGGGAAACCTACAAAATGCAACCGCATAACAGCAAACGGTGCCATGTCGACCGATGTTTTCATTTTTTCGACCATAGCCAAATGGTTGGCTATGGTTAGCTAGCTCAACGCCTGAAATCGTTGCATCCTATCAGAAAGTTCAAGCTGGTTTTTGAACCGTGGTTTTTTCCTGACTCCCACGGGATCTGGTCCCAATCAAGCTGTCCACTGGATTAGATCCTATATGATGCCTGCGATAGCGCTCTTCTTGGCAACTACATACCAGGGGATTATTTCATAAATAGGTAGCCTTCATTATTTGGTCCATTACTGGAATCTTTCGGATGGTAACTTCAAAATGTCAAAAAGAGAATGGACGTACCAAATAGACTTTCCTGGCTTTGACCTTGAAGTCGGTTTCCCAGCGTGGAATCTCCGCTTCCTTTCTCAGAGTTCTCCCCTTCCTTTCTCAGAGTAAACGGAAAAGACGGCTACGGCTGTTCTAATTTCAGTTAGTGTAGGAGTGATTAAGAAAGCAATCAGGTATACGCACGAAAGGCCATCTATCATCACCCACTAGGAACTGCCGTCTACATCCTACGTCTTTGTGGCCTAACTCCTCAACCTTAGATGCGGTCCCACTGGGAACCTCATAACTAGATATGATCCTGTGTCTTTGAAGTTGCTAGAACCTTCGGAAAGAAATCTTTTAATTCGGGAAATCGTTACAAAAAAAAGTACTGAATCGAAAGAATTCCCAAAGTCCTGAACGTTTCTATTCAGGAGCATCGCCCTCTTTGGCCTCTTGCGAAAGGAATGTCGTGTTCGACAGCAGCCTCGAAGAGAAGGAAGTCTGTTTAGAGCCTCTACAGTGCTTTGTGCAATTCGATCACAACTTTCTTAAGGTATGCACATTGTATGAGGAGTTGGGACCAGGAAATTGCACCTCTCCATCACTTCGGTATCAATTTCGTTCTGTGAACGTTGAGGTAACCTTGTACTCATTACTGTGGTGGACCAGAAATTTCCATATGTGAACATTTTTTGAACGAAGTTTCCGACAGACCTTTGGACATTTCAGTGGAATTACTTCTGCGGAAGCGCAAAGACCATTAAGAACTCGATTTCGATGCAAATGATTGGCGTGCTGATCGGTTCAGCAATGTTCGGTCAAATCAGCGACTCGTTCGGTAGACGAAAGGTAAATTCTCGAGAGGAAATGATTGCGCACACATGACATTGATGGCAAGTAGCCAATTTCCAGAGCATGCTAGTGACTATGGCAGGGATGGCTATCGGTTGGATTTTGGTAGCAAAATCCTACGACCTTACCCTTTTCACTGTGAGTCGCACTGCTGTCGGATTCTTCACTGGCGGAAGCATTTCGTGAGTCCTGAGAAAGACCTTTTCGGTTCTGTGATATTTCGATCAATACAGAGTTTTGAACGTTTTCATCATGGAGAATATCCCCAAGAAGCATCGGATGTGGATCAACATGGCGATCACCTGGTCACCCAACATGTTACCTCTTGCGGCTATGGCTTGGGCGACGGGTGACTGGCGCTCGTTAGCTTTACTCAACGCCATCGTCTGTGTTCCTGGCCTCCTGTTTTGTTTGTGAGTAGGTCGGCGTTGGTCGGAATGACGCTTGGAGTTGCAGGGAATTGATGGGTTTTCTACAGAAGTGAACTTTCAGCCTGTGCATCCACGAATCGCCGCGGTGGTTGATCCATTGTGGAAAAATCGCCGAAGCGCAGGAGATCATGCGTCGCGAATTCGGTAGCTCCAAGGAAGAAAGTGTCAACGAAACCTTGCACAAAGCCGTCAGAAACGAATACGAGGTAAGGCAAACTGAAAACATTTGCAGTAGTAGAAAAAGCTGACGGAGAAGCCCTAGACCCTTCTTACTCTTGTTTTGAACTGATTTCTTACCGCCAGTTGAGACACTCATCCTACAACCCACGATCCAGCAACTTTCAAACTCGAAGAGCTTTGAAATGGAGAAATTGACACGCCGATTTCAAGGTTATCATTCACTAAGTTTCTCTGGAAACTTTATTTCCTAGAATGGTTGGGCAGGTATATCACCAGATCCGAAATCAAGTATCTTACTCCGGTATGCCATAGTTAGTGAACCGCTAACCTGCTGTAGATACAGTCCAAAGACTGTTTTAATGGGGATACAGGTATGAGATTCCAAAAATAAACTTCTGCCCCGAGGGACTCGGACGCATATTTGTGCTTTCCGGGCACCGTGCTCTTTATCCCTTACACTACACCATAAGTAGAGGTTCGAGTCCAGTTCGAGGCCGTAGCTTTGCCCGGCGATATAGCAGCATTTAACAAAACATCAAGCCAGTTCCAAAAAAAATTGTCAAGTCCGAAGTCTGGGTCCCCATTTGGGAATTATTTGGGGGAAGAAATTAGTCGTGAGTGCAGGATAGCTTAGGGTAGAGCCCCACTACCTTTTCGTATGCTCTTTTTTGTAGTTGATGCTTCGAGCCGACTCCCAGAAGCGTCGCTATTCTTTCTGCCACCTGTTCTACTCTCCGAAACTCGCTATTACCACTGTTGTGCTCGCGTTTAGCTAGTAAGTTTATTCTTCCTTTCTGCAATTTCCCTTCAAGAGGTATGATAAGACATTCGTTGGTTTTGAGGACGCCCACAAAGAACGACACGGCGCATCCGTTGGAGTGTAGTAGGAGTGTTGCGAAAAGTTCATATGAACAAACTAAAGCTTCCCTCAATATTTCCCAAATCCGTCCTCCGAAAAAAGTAATCTACGTCAAAATTTCGCTTCAGAGTCTTAATAGTTGATCGTCTGGGCAGTGTCTCATGTTATAAGAGAAGAAAATTACAACAGGAAAGGGCCGTTATCCCATGTGCAGACAGCGAAGCTCGTCCGCTGGCACGAAACCTCCATTATGTCAGGGCTATAATAGATACTGTAGTTGAACAGGGGTCGATATCAAATGCTTTCACTGCAACTTAATCTAAATTCGAGCTTCTAGAAGGGCATGCTCCACGATTAATCGAGTGAACGGTATCTATTGTGTTCAATGGCTCTGAGCCTTTTCCCACTTGCCACCCGCGTTCACTTTCTGCGATCCACGAACCTAAAACATGCATGATCGAAGCTTTTCTATGTAAAGAAGAAGTGGTTGAGCGGGTAAGAAGACGGTGCTTAAAAAGGCTGCACTGATTAAAGAACGATAAGGTACGTACGGTGAAGTACATATCTAAAAAATATCATCATCACCTTGGCCGTCGCCGTTCTACTTTTTGCTCAGTGACAACTTTTGAATGATACACTATCCCTAATCGCTTAGACATACAGGGTTCAAAGGCACAGTCACGATAATTTTGCTGAACCCGTTTCTAGCCAAAAAGCGGAAGTATAGGATGGGAATAGTTCATCGGTAGTGAAGAAAGCGAGAAAAATCGCCGAATTTGAGAAAAATAGGGCTCCTCGTAAGCAGGGAAAATAGAAGTTGGAACCATGACGTAAAGACATGGGAAGGGTACTCGGACGAGATCTCGGTTTTTGCAATTGCGCAAAGAGCTGACTACATCAAGCCAGAACTGTACAGAACTGTCTTTCACTGTCGCTATGGGTCATGACATGTTATTTGAACTCCCTACATGGGTTCTCTTGAGATCGGTGCAGCCTCTACAGTGCCGGTGAAACTCGTCCGAGGGTGTACACGAGCCAATAGTTGAGCCTTTATAACGCACCAACTAGGCCGTTTTCCGACCTAATAGCGCCAGACATGGTATAAGAGGGGACCTCAAATTTGTCCTACGGGGCAATCTCACAAACCATTTTTATCGCGAACTGTACCTTTAAGAATTAAATCACAACTGCACATTTTATGATTGCTAGATTGCTATGCTTTATTGGCCTTTTGCAGTTTTTCTACTTCCATCGTGAACTATGGAATTTTATTCAATATGGAGAAGCTGAGTGGTTCAATCTACCTGAATTCAGTCTACACTGGTTTAATGAGGTAAACTTCTCTGATTGAAGTAGCGTCTGGTGGTCCCCTCACATGACATGCCCAGCTTCTTTACTTCAAGCAATGAGTGCACTATGTCTTTAATCGCCGCGCTTATCATATCAGTCAGAATTCTCGTGACCATGTTGTATAAAAAAGGCTATTCGACTTGATAACTCGGCTCTGTGACAAACAGATAGGAATCATCTTTGTATTGTTGCCTGACGTAAGCTGTCATGTTCCGATTGGGAAACGGTCAAAGAACAATCACCCAGTGCACAGGTACGAGGCCTCGCGTGGAGTACTGCCCATCAGCTGATTGAAAATGGTAGTAGTACAGGCTGGAAATATGATGAGCAAAGATCTGGCTAGACAGATTCAAGTGGCTAAAGCAAGCCGTAAAGTGCGAAATGACTCCACTCGTTTCAATCCTGAAAACCCCAGGATGTCGTGGTGTTTACTTTATTTACAGTACAAAATAACTCTTCATTGAGTATTTTTTATTTTATTTTATTTTATTTTTGTACGCGAAAACATGTGGCGCTATAAAATGCGAAACAGAATTAACATGTGAGACAACAGAAACTGAGGCACTCCAAATGGCAAAGGAAAGGAAGATCATAATCAAAGGCAAACGAAGTGCAAGCAGTCTAACCA